GGACATGGCATCCCACACCGAGTGCTGAATAGAAGCAGGTGAGCTCTTTACCTGTTTGTTGTACACTTTGTTCACCCAAAACCCCACAATGTCCCCAGCTACCCCAATTCAGCTGTCAGCACACACAAAGCTGTGAAATACCACAGAAAAGGGGCAAAACCAGTGTGGGAGCCAGCACAGAGCAGGGCAGAAGAGGAAGGGCTGGGAGAGGGGCAGAGCCTCCTAATCCTGGATTTGCCATCAGCAGCACAGAGCCAGCAGTGCATGGGCACAACAGCTCATTCACACTTGCTGTCACCCTCAACCACGGGGACAGCAAGTGATGTTTGTTTCTCTGCATCTCCCCAGCTGAACCCACTTTGATACTGAAGCACAGGCAGGAAGAGGTGGATTCATGCCCAAGGACACAGCTCCTGCCTGTGCTGTGCTCACATCCAGGTCTGCTCACCCCAGTGGTGGTGAGAGGCTGGGGGATGCAGATTGGCTCAGTGGCCAGCCTGAGGGTCATGAAGGAGTGACCACAGGACAGGGCACAAAGCTGGGGGATCCAGGACCTGCACGTGTCTCTGTCCTCACAGGTGAGCACTGCCCCATGCTGAGATTAACTCACAGCTCTTGTGACCTCACAGAAGGAATTTTATCTTTGTCTTGTTTTGTCCCCTCCATGTGCAGATTAAGGGAGAGTCCATTCCCATGTCAGAATGTGCAAGGTCTGATTTATCACCAGCAAAGCTCTTGGAGATACCCTCAAACCATCCCCTCTCCAGCCTCCTCACCGTGCTCTGTGCAGGCACTTGGCAGCCCCCCCAGGCCCCCCGAGATGGGTGTTCAGAGACCCATCAGCAACAGAGATATGGGCACAAGGGGAAGAAAACTGCACCAGAGAGAGAACTTTGAGAAAGGGACTAAGAACATCACAGCAGCAACACAGCCACCACCCCAGGGGCAACACAGCCCAACCCACAAACCCCAGTCCATCACACAGCCAAGCCCAGCTCTTCCTTCTCCTCCAACCATCCCCCAAAAAGTTCTAAAAACACATTCAAAGCACTTTTTTACTTCTAAACCTTGCATTACACACAGCAGCCTCCCCAAATGCAGGTGGGTACGACCTCCCAGGTGGCCACCAGAGAAAGTCCAGGTGTTGTTAAACCAGGCATAGGTCTGCCTGTTCCCTCCTGAGGATTTCACCCCTCAGCTTTCAGACAAGGCCCCCCAGCTCAGCTCCCTAGCTCCCAATGCTAAAACCAGGGCAAGGATCCTTCTGTCTTCCAGCACAGGCTGGAAGATGCTGCACTTCCCATGCAGGGTTGGCTCAGGTAAGGGGCCTCAGCTGGTCCAGGGGACCTCCTAAACCAGGAGAAGTGGTGATAGCCCAGGTGCCAAGTCTGGCAGACGCAGGGACACAGCCTGGCTTAGAGAATGGAGACATGAAAAGCACTTTGCATCACAGCCATGTTATCCCCTCATCCCTCCCCCTCATCCCCTTTGGAGCTTCTTAACTTCAGAAACCTTCCTCCAGAGGAGTGTTGGAGTGACAGAAAACATTTTCCAAGCCTAATATCAGTTCCAGATGTTCACAGCCATTTCAGTTTGTACCTCACCCTGTAAAACACATTTCTCCCTCTCCCTCTCTCAAGTGCAGCGCCTGCTTGGTCCATGACATAATGTGCTGGCGGGCTGGCCGTGCACACACACACACACACACACACACACACACACACACACACACACACACACACACACGTGTGCCTCACGCCCTCTCCGAGAGCCCCACGCTCAAACAAAGAGCATCACTCAACTACAAAGCTGTCGCACACATGGAGTTATGAGTAATTTCCACAAGTTTTAATAAACAGTTTGGGATGTAATTGCTCTCCGTCTTCCCGGCTGGCTCCCGAGCGCGGAGCCGCTCGCTCGCAGCGCGCTGGTGTTGAAAGCGTGGTTTGTTTCACACACGAGTTCACCTCCTCTCCGCCTCACATGGGCCAAGGGCTGTGTTTTTCTAAGCACCAGTAACAAGCCTCTTAAAAATCCTCATACAGCTGAGGGCACCCGGCCCACGCAGGCTCCTGGCTCCCTTCGCCCGTCCTGCAGCATCCCTGTCTCGTGTGGAGCCCAGCAGGGAGCACAGGGGACCCACTTAGACCTGTCTCACAACTCCCTCCTGACTCTGCTCCAAGAGGAAGAGGAACAAATGCTTTCTGGCTCAAGGGAATGGTTGTGGTAAGCACATTTCTCTCCCTCTCAAGATTCTTCATAGAGATGCACAGAGAGAAATGAAAGAGAAAACAATTTATATTTCTGCTCTTTGTTTTTCCTATGTGGAATGTGTTTGGAAAATTATTTACCTGGAGTGAGTACTTTATTAAATTCTGGTGAGGATTGTTTGAGCCTGATGGCCAATCCAACCCACCCAGGGCTGGGCTCTCAGAGAGGGTCACGAGTTGTGTTAGAGTCAGAGAAAGTAGTATGTAGTTTTAGTATTCTCCTTTTATATAATATATTAATGTATTTTAGCATAGTTATAATAAAGAAATAATTCAATCTTCTGAACTGAGTCAGACATCGTCATTTCTTCCCATTGGGTTTGCCTGCATTTATAATAAATGGTTACATCTTCCAGTTGCAGAACAAGGCGGAGGCCAAGGATTTTTGCAAGGGTGAGAGGCTGGAGGCTTTTGAGGGGCAGGAGGAAGGCAGAAGGCAGGTGAGGCTGGGACCAGGTACCACCTAGTTTGCCACAGGAACTAAGAACAGGTTGGCAGAGCTCTAGCCCTTGTCACTACCAGGAATCCCAATAAGAAATGTCTAAAACTGGAAAAAAAGCAAATAAAACCACTGTCCAAGTATAAATAACCCACTCATTTAAAGTCAAGAATTCCAAGGAATAAGTGGCAGCATCCTCAAGAGCCCTACAACCTGGCCAGATCTTCCCAGCCCAGAATTGGCTCACTCTGCAAATACCTGTGATGTACCTCCCAGCAATGGGAACAACCTGCTCCTCCCTGCCAGCAGCTGGGAGACTGATGGGGAAGGAAGATCTGCCCATATGCATCAAAAGCCATCCAAATGTCATATTCTACACTCCCCTCCCAAAGACTCCCCCTCTGAGGCTGAGTTATTGTTTTTGGGGATGCTGCTCACGTGGGAGAAGCTGTGGTGCAGCAGGATGGGTGGGTGATGGTGGTCAGGGGATATCCAGGACAGGATTTTTGGCTGTAGAGAGCTGTAGCAGTCAGCACCTCTGCAAACCTGCACAAGGTATTTAAAGGAATCAAGTCATCTGGCATTGGAGGCCTGTAGGGTAAGAAAGGAATGAAGGCAGGAATGTTGTTTGGTTATAAACAACACAGAAAAAAAGGGAGAGATTTAGGATTGGCTTTTCTCTTTAATTGTTAATAGGGTCGTTCTGTCCCAAACAGTCCCCCAGAGCAGGCAGAGGGGAGGGAAGCTCCCCAAAATGAATTCTATTGCCTGTCAAACACATGGCAGTCATAAAAGGAAAATAATAATAATAATAATAATAATCTGTATTTCCTATCTGGCTGCCAGGCAAAGATCCAGCCACTACAAAGGAGAAACCCCATGTTGCCCTGGTCTGGCCTCACCTGACTGATGTGTGAGCAATCTGGAATCCCCATCCAAAACAAAGCCCCTCCTTTGGTGGCTTGTTTTCTTTCTCCATTGCTGCAAGGTGCCCCTCCAAGATAAAGAACAAACCTTCTTCCATGCCATGAAACCAGAGACATAACCCAGGGTCCATGGCCACATCAGGCAGCTTTGGGAGGGGATGCTGGCAGGATGCAGGAGAAAGGGCCAGAGGGATGGGACTGGTATATGAGCCAGGGACCTCCGCAGGTCTCCTGCTTGTGGAGACCCCTGCTCCTTCTTGCAGAGCTCTCCACAAAGAGCTGGACCCCCAGGAGGTGGGGATCTGGGTCTCTGCAGCAGAGACAGCTCTTGTAGCACGTGATTTTTGGATATGGTGGCATCTACGCTGCAGAAGCAGAATAGATGGGCTTGAGGTGAACAGAGAGGGTGGAAACTTCCCTGTGGCTTTGAGGTCTAACTGATCTTCCTGAGCCTGTCTTCCCAACAGGGAAACACAGCTAAACATCTTGCCAGGGTGCCCTGGGAGCCCATGCAAGTCTGCATGTGGACTGTGAGGTTCTGCACTCCAACACCAGCCCTGTCCCAGGAAAATTTCTGCTTTCATCAACTGCCCAGCTGCCCTGACAATTTTTGTGAGCTTCTTTAAAAAACTGCATCCAAAATCCTCGAGCAAAAAGCAGTAGGTTCTGCCTGGCTTTCCCTGCAGCACTGCTATCACTCAGGGTCTCAAGTCCTATTTTCTGAAATCCATTATTGACTCACCCAAATCAAGTCCCATCCTTCACAGCCCTCTGCCTTGTCCAGCAGCCCCTGGAGCATGGATTGAGTTGCTGACAAAGCCTTTTTAACGTGTAGAGCACTCAGTACAAGTCTGAGAACTAAACTCCAACCCAGGTTCTCCTGGAGAAATTTTGTGCTCTTTAAATGATCTCCCTAAATATTGCAGGTCCTGAGTTCCTTTGATAGGTGTGCAAGACAACTGAAAATGTCCTTTCAAAGGTGGGTCACTGGTCAGTCACTGGAACAGACCAGTAAAGCCCTTGAGCTGTTGAGGGATGACCTTCCCCACACAACCACCACCCTGTGGCATTTCAGACTGATGAGATCAACACCCACTTCAGAAACTCCAAATCACAGCTCTCCTGCCCAAAAAAGGGCAAATCATTTCCTTCTGACTCACTGCGTTTTTGTAATTTCCTTTCCCCTCAAATAGCCATGTCTGCAGAAGATTCCAGAAACCTCTCCTAAATGGAGTGGGTTTGATACCTCGTGTAACACCTTGGCTCTATTCTCCACCACAGCAGCTGCTCCCAGCCATGTAGGGCACAGGAAGCATCACCAGGAGCCCTCTGCACCACGAGGAGGTTGTTCTCCCTCACACCCACCTGTGTAAAGGTCTGTGTCTGTGTACTCATCCACCTTCTTGTGCTGCAGGACGTAATCCGAGACCTTGGTCCCGATGGCAGGCTGCACATCCAGCCACTCCAGAGACACCACGGTGCTGGAGGGCTCCACGTTGGGGGAGAGCCGCAGGCTGGGTGGGAGACAGAGAAAACGAGACGTGAGCTCCCTTTCTGGGGAGGAATCCACATCTTTAACCAGCACCACCCCACATGCGTGTAGGTGTGCCTAAAGCCCCAAGGACAGAGGTCACAGGGGCAGAACAGGCTCGTGAGCATCAAAAAGCTGAGTCCAGCCTATTGCAGCGTACGCCCTTGGCAGCCTCCCCAGCTCCTGGAGAAGATAAGCTCATGCAGCCCTAAATATCTCATCTAAAGGGGCCTTCATTGTCCGGGAGAGCTGCTGAACTTCAGCAAGGGGAGCAAGGACCAGCACCCCAGGAGCAAAACAGGAGAAGATGCGTTGTTGAAACCCAGCAGGGCTGAGTCCACAGGAGGGGAGGGTCAGGTCTGAATCACCAGTGAGCAAAGGTGAGGGAGAGAGGGGGAGAAGCAGCATGGATTCACTCAGCTGCAAACCTCTGAGGGGCGTGGGCGAGAGCAGAGCAGGGCAGCTGTGCAGGAGCTCCTGCCCAGAGCAGGAACGAGTGGGATGGGATGAAGGCAGAGGAGCTCTGTGCTCCCGGCTGTGCTAATGCAGAGTCCATCCCCTCTGGCCCGGGGTAGATGACAACACCAAGTACAGGGCCATGGAGCGTCCGGCTCCAAGCACACAGCATGTTTGCTGGACTTGAGATGGGAAACGAATCCCCTCTGAGGATATTGGCTCACTAAGAAGGTGTTCTGCTCCTTGTGGCTCGCTGGAGCCAGTCTTCCTGCTTTCTCAGCTAATTCCCCATCAGTTTGCTCCTGATTTGCTCTTGCTCTGACAAGCCACAATGAATTGCACTGTAATTCCATTTCTTTCAGCATTTGAAATCCCATTCTACAAGCCCTGCTAATCAGGTGATGAAAATCTATAAGGAAACCTTCCAGGGCCACAGCCAGAGCCAGGATATCCTAAAGGCATCAGTCACACAGTGAGGAGGGCTGGACTGCAGCCCCCAGGCCCAAGGGTGCAGAAGGAGGTGCCCATGGGCTGAGCCCCTGGGAAATGGGGTGGTTTCTGGGGGCTGTGACCCACAGGAAAGGGGCTGGTGATGCCCAGAGGGCCCACAGGGATACGTACACAGGCGGAGGGAGAGGGCTGCAGTTCGGGAGTCCGTTCTCATCGAAGGCGTTGAGGTCGCACCTGCACCAGTCTTCGATAACATCACCTTTCCCAGAGCACCAGTATGAGCTCATCAGGGCTCCCTTGAAGGCCTGATGTGAGAACAAAAAGCGTGAACATGTGTGCTGAAGACTCAGTGAAATCTGGCTCAGCTCGGGGCTGAGCACCGTGGGAAGCGTGCAGAGCCCTGGGATGGGGAAATCCGGGATGGGCTGGGGGAGTGTGTCCTCCCCAGCTTTGCCATGACCTCTCTGCATGGCCCTGGGCATGCCCTTCACCTCCCTGGGTCCAATTCCCATGTGTTGAGTGGTGCTGGTCTATCCCTGAATGCTTTTGGAGCGGGGATGGGGATGTCCTGTGGGGGAGGACTGAGCTGCCTGAAGAAGCAGGAGCATAAGTCCCTCTGTGACAGTGAACAGAATACCCACAGCACCTGCACACTGCTGTTGTGTTTGAAACTCTTCCACTCTTCCCCGTGCCCTTCTGCCCAGCTGCTTCTGTAATGCCCAAATTCCCAACAACACCAGACCCCTTCCATCCTTCTCACAGGTTTGTTATTCACACAGAGCACCCTCCTGCAAGCAAACTGCTGCTTTAGTCACTTGTCTAAGGAACACTCACAAGCAAAACAGCAGTATCTGGAAAGAAAAAAAAAAAAAACCTGGCAAATACTTGCAGGATGTCCCCAGGAGCCACCCTGGCAGCTCCTAGTAATACCAATGAATCCCTGGAATAATAATTGTGGTCAGAATTGGCAAAGTCCTCCAGGTCTCAGCCCTCAGTGTCCCTGCTGTGTTTGTGGTGCTTGCTGATGGTGCATCCCTCACTCCATACCCTGCTGTAGTTTGGACCACATGGATTTATGGTGGTCTCTCCCACTACCCTTAATCTGGAATTAAACCTCCAGTCTCAAAAACATCTCCTTCACACACACAGAGCCACCATCCAACCCTGCAAAGCCACAACACCCATCTAGAATAATCAGAACATCAAAACACCAGCCACTAGAACAAAGCTCTGTAATGCTTTTGACCTTTCAAGAGGCACATTTGGGAGCTGAAACACCTCCACAGGTCCTCATCCACATGGAGCAGCCTTACTTGTGGCAACACTGTTCTTCCCATGACAAGTTGCCTGCGGAAGCCTGGCCCTGGTGATACGGCCTGTGCTGCAAGGGTACGCCTGGAAATAAATCTGTGCCCTTTGAGGAGCGCAGGGACAGCTCAGGCAGCAGCACTGAGCAGAAAACTCTAGGAAAAGCGCCATCCCAGGCAGGTTTTTGAAAGGAGGAGGTATAAATAGAGCCTGACGTCAGGGCTCCCATTGTCTGGGGTTTTGTCGCTCTCCCCAAACACCCCCAGCACCTTTAACAAGGCGCCTCAAGGTTCTTGTGTCTGCAAAATTTTCTGCTTCCAGGGCATTTACAAAATGAGACTGTTCCAGATGGAAAAAATGGGAAAAGAAAAACCAAACCAAAACCCAAGGAAGGAACGAACAGGTGAAAGAAAGAAAATGTGACATTATTTTACCCTGTTCTTTAGAAAGTAATTTAAGTGCTAGGCTGGAAAGGACATCCAAAGTAATTGCAGAGAGGGATGAAGAGAGGAGTTTATCTGACACCCAGATAAATGGATGCAGACACACCAGAGAGAGAGAGAGCAGCGGGTCCGTGCAGGAAAGGAACAGCAAAGGATGTGTGCAGATGGATGGGGAAGCATGTGCTCTCCTTAGGAGCAAGATAAATGCCCTCTGCTGAGGGTCCCTGTGTGCACAGACAGGCACTGCAGGTGAAGATAAAGATAAAGATCCTGGGGAGAGCTGCACTGCCCCACTGTCCCCCAGGCCCAACCCCTGTCACTCTGCACACCCCCTCCCTGTCCCCCAGCCCAGCTCCTCCCTGCACATCCCCGATTTAGGAAAGGAACCCCACCCACCCCATCCATGCCCTTTAGCAAACCCAGTAGTCAATTCCTTGTTTTTCTTGTATCCTGCTGTTTAGCACTTAGCTGGATGAGCAATCCCCCTTGCTCTGCCTGCCCAGCCTCGCACAGGTTTTAATTAAATGCTTCAGGTGCCCAGCTGTCATCTGCCTTGTGTCACCCTGCACACAAACGAGGTTAGGGGATGGATGCTGAGCTCATTACGGCGAGCACACGTCCACCCCCTAACCAGGTTACTGGGGGCACAGCCACCCCTGCCCGCTCCTGCCGCTGTCCTGACTCATGCCAGGGCCAGGCTGGGAGAGCCAGGCAGCCAGGGCTTGTCCCTGCCTTGTCCCTCTGGCTGGGCACTGGTGGGGCTACACCCCTGGGGTGCTGAGTCCAGCTCTGGGCCACTCATGGCAGGAAGGACATGGAGGGGCTGGAGCGTGTCCAGGGAAGGGAATGGAGCTGGGAAGGGGCTGGAGCCCCAGGAGGGGCTGAGGGAGCTGGGAAGGGGCTCAGCCTGGAGCAAAGGAGGCTCAGGGGGGACCTTGTGGCTCTGCACAGCTCCTGCCAGGAGGGGACAGCTGGGGGGGTTGGGCTCTGCTCCAGGGAACAGGGACAGGAGGAGAGGGAACAGCTCAGGCTGGGCCAGAGCAGGTTTGGGTTGGAAATCAGGAGGAATTTCTCCATGGAAAGGGTGGTCAGGCATTGGAAGGGGCTGCTCAGGTAAGTGGTGGTGTCCCCATCCCTGGAGGTGTTCAAGACACAACTAAATGAAGCCCTAATGCTGTGGTGTGACAAGGGGGTGATTGGTTAAAGGTTGGACTCGGTAGTGGAGGTCTTTTGCAACCTAAATGATTCTGGGATTCTATGACTTTTCTTGCTTTCCAGTGGAGTTTCAGGACAGTGGCTCCTGGGATTTTCCCACTGGTGCTGGGAAGTGCATGTTGAGGGGTGGGGAAGCATCGAGAGCAAATAGATGGGGAGCAGAAATGGGTAAGATCACACAGAAGAAGGGAATGGCAGCTGCCACCCAAACAAGGAGCCCAGTGGCACAGGAGGACCAAGAGCGATGGACAAGGATGCAGTGAAGGTGCTGAGATCCATCCCATGGGAAGCTGCAGCCTTTGGGAGAGCTTCAGGTGGGAATGAACGCACAGGGTGGCTGAGAACCACCTTCCCCTCCTGCCTCGGGCTGGGCTCTCCACATCTCCTGTCCTTCCCTGCTGTGCTCAGGATGTGCAGTGAGTGCTCTCCTCCCTGCCAGGAGACAGCATCCACACGAGTCCATCCCAAACATGACCACTTCCACTTTGGGTGTTTCATCATGGTGGTCATGTTTCCACAGGCCCATGAGGGTGTGGATTCATGAAGGGCTTCCCAGGAGTGACTGATCTGCTGGGAATGGCAGTGGCCCCCAGTGCACTGTCCTGTGCTTGCCAACCACTCCCCGGGACCCCAACACCCCTCCGTGCCCTAAGGCAATTTTATCTCTCATTTAAAAGTATCCAAATTGTATTGTTTCACTGTGAGTCAGCCCATTTAGTTTATGTCCTTCGGTGCCAGAGGGGAAATTTATGAGATGAGAAACTGGCTCGAAACGTTTATTTTCTAGATGACGAGTCATGCCATTAGATATATAGCTTTATGAATCATAGGAACAGCATCTAATTTGCTCTTAAAGGTATAATAGGTCTGATTCCCCACACCCATGCACACACATATATTGGATTGATAGTTCCCCCCTAGGATGGCTAGTTCATTTGTTTTGACACAAGCAAGACTTACAGGACCATAAAGTCCCATCTTACCATAAGCTAAGCCTATTCATAAAAAAAATATTAGGGAAACAAACGATCAGCTAAGCACATTTATCCTACACTGGATTGCATATGGATCTTTCTCCTGTTGTTATTTGTGCTCAGGGGGAGGCCATTTGGCCCCATTTTATAGCTGAGACACTCTGTAACAGAATAGAGAAGAACACTTCCTTTGTCCTCTGTTAGACCTGGCTGATGGAGGGAGAAGCATTAAGTTATTCCTAACTGTGGTTTGTCTGTTGACATCCCAGGAGGGGAAAGTGATAGGACATGAAGGAGCCTTTCAGATCAGCATTTGCAGGACTCAGCACGCACCACAGGGCTGGTGTTTGCAGATGGGATACTGGGAAGGGTTGGGTGCTTGCCTGTGGATATCTGGTCTTCTCCATGGCTGACAGTGACATGAAAATCTAGCTCACTGAGTCTAGGATGCACACCTCTGTTTCTGGAAAAAATTAAAAGGAAATACAGGGAGATTAAAAAACAACCCCAGGTGAACATGTAGGCTGGACAGAGATGTGCTGCAGATAAGTGGAGATGATCTGGAAGCTGGAACTTAGGTTCATTTTGGATTTTGCACTGATTTCCCAATCTCTACTTGATTTTTTTGTTCTTCTCAATGCAGAAGGAGAGAAGAAGTGCAGAAGCAGGCTGAGCCATGGCAGCATACAGGCTCCATCCCATGTCCAGGGATGGGGCAGCAAACAGACACATCCTGTCCTTTCCTGTTGGCAGGATGGAGAAGGGCCCTGCATGCCACCACCCCCTTCCCTCAGGCACAGGCAGGAGGATGGAGGCTCCAGAAGGGCTTTCACAGCCTGAACAGGATGCTACCAGCATGGCAGGGTGGCTGGAGGGAAAGCCTTCCATGCCCTTCCAGCAGTGCTCAGTGCTGTTCACAGGAGGTAAATGCCACTCCTTAGTCTAGCCAACTCTGGAAAGGGGAAGAAAAACAAAAAAAAAGGGGATGAAAGCTAAGGGTTTCCCAGGCCAGAGACTCTTTCCAGGATCATGCAGTTCATGTCTGAAAGGCCAGGTTCACAGTAAGGGAGGATGAAGGTTTGCTCCAGGTTTACAGCAAAGGAAGATGAAGGTTTGCTGGTCCAGGTTCACAGCAAAGGAAGATGAAGTTTTGCTGTTGGCAGGTGATCTCATCCTGCATTGTTCCCACTCTCCCTGCCTCTGGCTGGCTCTCCCCCGGGAGCAGCATCACCAGCACTTCATCCTGGAAAGGGCCATCAGTGTCCTCTGGGTAGCTCAGGGTGCTGGGAGGGACCCGAGGCGGGCAGCATCCTGCTTTCTGTTATTTACAGAATAACAGGATCCGAGGGAGCGGCAGAGGACGCT